AAGAGAGATCTACAATAGCATAAACACTAAGACCAACCAAATATTGACTTATAGTAAAGATCTACTAAAGGTAACAGCTTTGCCTCCATTAACAACAGAAACATATTTAACAGAAATTACATAGAGTTATCTAATTAATAGTGTATTTATTTATTTACCAGGGATCAAATTCATGACCTTGAGCTTGTGAGGCAGGTATGGCATCACTGAGATAAATCCCTGGACCTAATTGTTTATTTTTTTCCTCATAGAATTTATTGGTACATTTTAGGCATACAGTACAGTTACATTCATTACTGGGATCCTGTACCTTTACATGACAGGTCTTGCTTCTTATTTTTTCCCCTTGTCCCTGCCCTCCCTTCACGCCCTCCTCCCCTCCATTTACAAACATTTTATTTCCATTTTTTCATTTTCTCCTATTTGTTTCCTTTCCCTTATTACCTTCTCCCTACCCTTCCCACTTTCACTACACCTTTAGCCCTTTTCTTCTTATTTCACATTGTCAATTATCTCATTAGGATCTGTGTACTATCATAGTTTTTCACACCAGAGAAACTATTCAGTATTTACACATGTGTGGCTTATTTATTTCACTTAGGAGTATATCCTCAATATGTATCCATTTTCCTATGAATGAATCTAATTTCTCATTCTTTATGGCTGAGTAGTATTTGATTTTATAGAAAAACCACATCTTCTTTATCCACTCCTAATAGTGTAGTTTTAAAAAGCACTGAGTAAGTTTGCTTTTATCCTAGCTCTCCTAATATTAGCTGTGTAACTTTGGATTCATTTTTTCATGTATTAGTCAGATTTCTGTCACTGGGATAGAATACCTAACACAAATAAATTTAAAGTAGGAGATATTATTTTGGCTCATAGTTTGAGACATTTCAGTCCATGGTTGGCTGGCTCCAAGGCAGAAATAGCAGGAGGAAGGGCATGGAAGAGGAAAGCTGCTGAACTCATGGCATTCAGGAAATAGAGAGCACGGAAAGGCCCAGAGAAGAAGAGGACCAGGTATATCCTTCAAAGAATGTGCACACTGACCTGCTTCCCATAATTGAGCCCACCAACTCTTACCCCATTCAGCTATGAATTCACAGTAGACAAATGAATTAATAAGGTCAGTACCCTCATGATGAAATTACCTCTCTAGACTCCAGCTCTGAACCTTGCTGCATTGGTGAGCAAGCCCCCAAACATGACTCTTTATGTGACACTTCCTATTTAAACCATGAAAACTCATTCCTCTTTCTGCATAGTACTGCTGTGAGTTCTAAGTTTCTTAAATGTATATAAAGGACTGAGAACAGTGCTGGCCTATCCTAAGTGTTCAGTTGAATATGACCTTTTATTACATGCTTCCAACCGTGTTCTGCTGGAATGTCCCTTCTCCCAGTGAAAAAGTGAAGGTGAGAGGTAGAGGCAAACAGAGATGATGTGCTAAAGTCAGCTATGAGAGATGACTGTGCACATCTCTTTTCAAGTCTGCATTCCTCACACTCATATCTTGAACTTGGCCTTGATGGAAATATTTATACCATGGCAACTTGCTTAATCTTCAAGTTCATGAATTTGTAGTGTTTATAAATTTATAAAAATGTTTTAGCTGCATGAGAGTAACAGAATGGTTAGTTAGAAAGATAACTAAGGAATCTTTATTTAAACTGGGGTGAAGTCTGCATTATGAAACTTGTATTCTTCAGGGCTGCACAAAACCTGTGTAAGACTTCTGCTTATCATTCTTCAGACTAATACACACCACCAGAGAATCCACAAATCCACTTGGTAAAGGTCAGATACAGCTGTTACTTGGGCAAATCTTTCAACGTTTACTTTTATTTAGAAGATACAATGGAAAGACTGGAGATTTTTTTTCCTCATTGAGTTTATTGGTACATTTAAAATATACAGTATAGTTACATTCATTATTGGGATCTTGTACCTTTACATGACAGGTGTTGGTTCTCATTTTTTTCCCCTTATCCCTGACCTCCCTTCACCCCCTCCTCCCCTCCCAAATTACAAACATTTTATTTCCATTTTTTTCATTTTCTCCTATTTTTTTTCCTTTCCCTTACTACCTTTCCCCTAAGAAGGGCTGAGGATTTAGCTCTGTGGTGCCATGCTTGTCTCACAAGCACAAGGTCCTGAATTCAATCCCTGATACTGACAAAAAGAAAGATGCAATAGAACAAATGTAGTTGGGAACTTCACTATAACCAGAGTGATCATTTTTACAGTGCACTTCATATCATGTTACTTTTAGTGCTAAAACCCCTCCCTGATTACCCACTGCTTTCCAGATCAAATCCATACTTATCATAGGAAAAGGAAATTCACAATGGAGATTCAGTTCCTTCTCTCCCTCCTCTTTCCAAACCCCACATTCATCAAACTCCTTGAAGAGCAAATACCCCTGGATGCTTTCAGATTTTCTCTGATATTTTTCTAGAAAGAAATGACAGAAAACCATGGGATACTGTCTTAGTTACCTTTTTCATTGCTGAGAAAAATCCAACACCCAAAGTTAAAGGAAGAAAGGTTGTAGCTCAGAGTTTACAGAGACTTCAGTTCTTAGTTGTCTGGCTACAAAGCAGGGTGGAGTAGCAGAACTGTAGGAGAAAGAGTTCATGGCAGGCAGAAGGCAGCAAAGCAGCAAAGTAGTAAAGTAGCAAGTGACAACAGCAGGTCTCTTTCTGTTCCTTATATTCTACCCAGGCTACACGAGCTTAAGATTAATAGCATTCATACTCAGGGTGGGCCTTTCTATTATCTACACCTGGAACTAGACTAATTTAGTAATCACACACTCTAGATCCAGTCACCTCTGAAAAGCCCCACCTATGACCATACGAGGCTTTGGAGTGACATCTAGACACAAGCCATAACAAATGCACAACATGTCTTTAACAAGTGCTCTGAAGATAAGCACAGACCTAGGCAGACTCCCTCTTTTACCCCAGCCCACCATCACTTCCCTTTTAAAAAATACTTTTTAAAAAATTTTTGTTTGTTTACTTTTTAAGGAAATGACTGCTTATTTGTGAATACAGACATCAGAACTTTCCACCAACAATCAAGATGCTCTCACAGAAACAGCAACAAGTGCTCCCTGTTGGTGAGATGCTCACATCACAGGCAGGGAGGAGGGGGAGGGATGAAGGTAAATATAGTTGATCTCATCCACAGCTGTTTATTCAATTCATGTAAAGTAGACTAGTTTATCTGCCCAAAGTCATCTGTGCACTTACAGAAAATTCCCAAATCAGCATCTAAAATGAATTCTCCCTGTCAGGAAAAAATATACAAGTCCTTCCCACCACCACCCTGGAGTTGTTCCCAGGAGAACAACCCTGGTTAGGAGGAGCCTTTGAGAATTTGGTCAGATCCCCAGAGGCTTTGCTAAGAAGACTTTATACCACTGGCTCCTCCAGTAGTAAGAGAGTCAAAGAGCCTCAGTTCCACCATTTATCAGCTCAGTGGACATAGCAAACTTCTCTCTGTGCCTCTGCACTCAGAGGTTAATTTCTCTGAGCATGGCAGAGTTTCTGTGAATGCTCTAGGTATCATACACAACTGGTGTTCCCTGAGGAATGTGAGAATGTTTATATGCATGGCATTTGGATTTTATCATTTCATGGGCAACTCACAAAAGCTATGACTAGAGGCACTATAATTCCCATTTTACAGGTGAGAAAACTGAGGCCCAAAATCATGGATTAATTTGTTATAAACATGTATTGAAGCCCAATACCTTTCCTTTAAATGATCTTTATTTAAAAAATTTACTTCTTATTGTAAAAATAATTCCACAAAATTAGTTCCTTGAAACAAAGTCAAACAATATAAGTCATATAAAAAGCTCTTGATGCACAGTTTTGTTCACACCCTAGAGATAATAGCTGTATTTTGGTGTTTTGACCATCTAGACTTTCTTCCTATAAATTCATATACATGTGTGTAGATAATCTTATTTTGCATTGTATCAAAATTTACATGAAGGGTATAGTGTCAATGTTGTTCTGAAATTTGATTTTTTGGGAGTGGGGTACTGGGGATCGAACTCAGGACCCTGTGCTTGCGAGGCAGGCTGCAGAACCCCTGAGCTAAATCCCTGGACTTCACATAGAAAATCTTCTTCTTCTTCTTCTTCTTCTTCTTCTTCTTCTTCTTCTTCTTCTTCCTCCTCCTTCTCCTCCTCCTCCTCTTCTTCTTCTTCTTCTTCTTCTTCTCTCTTCCTCTTCCTCTTCCTCTTCCTCCTCTTCCTCTTCTTCCTCTTCCTCTTCCTCCTCCTCCTCCTCCCCTTCTTCTTCTTCTTCTTGTACCAGGAATTGATCTTGGGACGTTGCACTTGTGAGGCAGGCAGTGGAACCACTGAGCTAAATCCCTGGCTCTTACACCCTTCATTCTTAATACTGTGAATATGAACCTACTTCACTTTGTGAGTTGCCTATTAAAGACAATGATCAGGGCCTTTCTCCCCTTCTCCTACATTCTGCCTCTGTCTGTAGGGTGGAAGCTCCTTCCACTCAAGCTGCTTGTGTCCAATTCTGGTTCCCTTCTCTCGGCCCCTCACTCAGCCCTCCCTTTGGAGGACAAATCATACTTTGGTAGGTCAGTGCCTGAGCCCCTGTGCCTGTACACTGGTGGGGAGTGGGACTGTGGCTGTCCTCAAGGGCACATCTGTCCCTTGCCTGCCCAGGATTACTGGTCCTTGTCCCTGTGTGGAGCCTCCACAATGGCCAGCCCACTGTATGCCCTCTTTCTCCACCTCATTGTCCACACAGCTGCGTGGGAAGAGCATGCCAGGACCACCCTACAGATACAGACACATTTTATCCTTCCTGTCGTGGGTGGACAGCTTAGGTTCTGTATTAGGGCCAAGAATGAAACTCAGATTAGACCCAGTTGAGGAGAACACGTGGGTCACCAATGTATAAAAAATAGATGATCAGAGCTCCCAATACCAAAAAGGCATCACACAAAAAAAATGTTTTCTTAAAACAGAGTTCACTTTATTACATTAATTTTACACAGTAAAAGTATAGAAAATGCAAACTTGTTTAAATTCTCTTGCTGAATCTCTTGAATACAATGTCACCCAGTGTCATGGTCTGAAGAACAGAAAAGAAATCATCAAATGATTATCTGGTGACAAACAGTAAAAGCACATTATCAAGCCCCCAAATAGCTCCAAATGTGGTAATGTATGAAACAACTCAATGATTCTTCAAATCAGTGATTCCTCAAAGACCAGAGGAAGAGCTGACAATTTTTTTAACCTTATGTCTATGTTATTGCACTTTCTTCAATGGATGTGGTAGCAAGATCATCCAAACTTATATAATCTAATTCACTTTCTCAAAGTTCTGTTGAGCACCTACTTTGTGTCAAAACCATGCAAGGACATGTGTGCATGGAATACTAGGCAACTGGCCTGGGATGTTTTGGGCATTGCCTGGTTTACTTTCTAAAACTGAATGGAGCAGGTGAAAATGCTGGCTGCATCAGCTCTGAGGTCCTTGAAGAATCTTGGACAAGGCAGCTGTCATTTTGACATCAGGTAACAAAGCGGCCCCTTTGTTTCAGCAGCAATAGAGTGGCTGCCACTGATAAGATGGGAGCTCTAGTTTTTGCTACTTATATCATCACCTGGATGACCTTGGATAGGTCGACCTGACTACTGACCCCTTAACCTGTCTCCCTCACAGGAGACGGGAGGATTAGGCAAGATGGAGCCATCAGAGGATGTTGGCCCGGTCCCATCTGAAACATCTCATCTCCTGCTCCCCTGCCTGCTGGGAAGGTGTCAGCGTAGGCACAGGGACAGTGCATTTCACAGTTGATGCTCACATTGTCACTGCCTGAGGGATGTTCCCACCTGAACCTGGTGGCCACAGCCTCCTTGGGCTGCTTGGAACAAAGGAGACCAAGGGGGACACAACTGCTGGAGAAATTCTGGAGATTCACTCCCAAACTGAAGATAGGACCCGGCCAACGGCCAAGCACTGACCACTGCACACCTGGAGTGTGATACTCACAGGGGCCATGTACTTGCCACAAATGTGATCCTTATAATGCCAAATGGGCAAAGGCGTGTATCAGGCCTGTGGGGCTTGTAGGGCAGCTGGAGGTCCCTGTGGCTTGTGATTCGTGGTGAGTTAGAAGGAAGCGTTGTGACTATTAATTACTTTGCTGGCACAGAAGCAATGGCAGGGCCTGATATTCCTTGTGGTATGGGTGCTTCATTCACAAGAATAGCCTGTCTGTGACCCAGTTATGCCCACAGGAGGGGCATCTGCAGATTGAATGGGTTTATGCCCTGTACTCTGAGCTTCGTCCCAGTGGAGACAGAAAGCATGAGCTATGCCGGCTGCCCTGCGTGTTCCTGTGCCTTTCCTGCCAAGCTCCTCTCTTACTCCATGGCATCAGGGAAGAGGGGAGAGGAGCTGGGAATGAGGAGTAAGGAGGGAAGGAAGGAGGGTTGGGGGGGCTGGCAGGGGAGGGACAGCATGAGAGAAGTTGGGACATCAGGTGGCCGGATGCCAGCTCACCCTGTACCTTTGGTGAGTTAGAAAAGGGCATCCCTTCCTCAAGATCCTGCTGTTCTATGTGTTGGAAAATCAGCTGGTTATGCTGCACTGGTTTTGTTAGACAGGACTGGTACAAGGTGTTATACGAGGTGTGATAGAAAAATATAGTGAATGCTTGCATCAAACGAAAAAAAAATTACAGTATAAGACATATTGTCATTAATCTACCTCAACCTCCCCAACTTCAGACACACTTAACCCATCATTTTGTCCTTTTCAAAACCAGTTCTCAAAGTCTTATTTCATGTATGTTTTTTAAGAGATGTGATAAAATATATGATAATGTCATTGCCTACTGCCATCCAATGGAAAAGCCGTCTTGTGAAAACTCTGTGGTGCATCCCTATCTGTGCTATTCACTGGATCTGGTACCATATGAGTTCAAAATCTTTGCCAAAGTCAAAATGATTATGAAAAGTCAAGATTTTGAATCAGTTCAGGGCATGGAAGCCATGATAACATATCCAAAGACACTCACAAAAGAAACCTTCCTGAGTCACTACAGAAAGTGGCAAGAACTTGGGATGAGTCTGTTTGAACGGAGAGGGAGTATTTTGCGAAGAATTATACCAATGTTCTTACTGAAATAATGTTTTATACATGTAAATATACTCCAGGTTTAAAGAAAATACATGGTAAATACAGAAACCTGCATGGCCTTTAATATGAATCACCTCCCATGGGACAGCTGTGGATGGTAGCCATGAGGGACTGATCCAACTCATTTGGTTATGCTGCACTGGTTTGGTTAGACGGGACTGCTACAAAGTGGTATACTAGGTGTGATAGAAAAATACAGCAAACAAAAAAATTACTATGGTAAAAGACACACCATCATTAATCCACTGTGACTGTGCCATTTCATGGCTGTTTGTTGCCTCAGTTTCTCCTTTTGAAAATTGCTGATGGGAAGCTCAGAGATGCTTTATAAACTTCCTGGCACAGAAGGAACCTCAGTGAAGTGGTAGGAGATACAGAAAGGCAGAGAATTTGGGGCTGAGGGGAGGAAAGTGAGGCATGGGGTGAGGGGTGCAACTGCTCTTCACCCTTCACTTCACCCTCCCTCCAGCACCAGAGTCACAAGTTCAGAGTCCCGACTTACACTGGTCAGTGTGTCTCCCTTGACTTCAGTCACAAACTTGACGTTTTTGAAAACTGTCACAAGCTTGTTGCCATCTTCCAAGTTAACCACCGCCTGTGGGGCACAGAGAGGCCTGTGAGAAGAGTCTGTGGAAAGTGAGATCCTCACTAATGGGTCGGTTCCCCTGTGCAGGTGTCAGCTTATGACACCTCTGGTCCCTGTGCTCCCAGACCTCAGTTCTGACAGAAGACAGGGGCACAGAAGACAGAAAGAAAACCTCAGGACATCGTCTGTCAGAGCTTCAGTCCATGCTGTGTGATCTAGAAAAGCACACAGGACACTGAGTGGTCCCCAGGACAAATGCTGAAACAGAAGCAATAAAGTCTCAGTTCTCCAAGCTAATGGAGGCGGCAGTGTCAGAATTCAGAACCCTGCACACACTTTGCTCTGGTCCGCCTGGGTCCTGCCGGAACATTCATGGTTCCTGTGTGGTCTCCTCTCCCAGCCTTGGACATCCAGAGGAGCAAACACAGAAACCCAACCAGGAGAGGAGGACACTGCCAAGGTAAAACATCTCCCTCCACGTGGACACCTGGAAAAGGCCCATGGTAGAACCCACAGCGGCCGCCCCTTCCCCTGGGCACAGCCAAGAAAGTCCTGGCATTTGCCTCAGTCTCTGATGTTGTCCCCGGAGAGGCAGAAATAAAGAGCGATGGGAAGCAGTGAGGAGAGAGCTTGCTGAGCCCAATGCAGAGTCATCTGGGGAGCGGGAAGATGGCTGCTGGGTGGTGCTGGCTACGCTGGGGTGTGCAGTGTGTCACGGGGAGGAGCAGTGGTCAGGTCCTGGGTGCCCCAGAGCCCCAGACCTGTGGGGATGGAGCCGCCCTGCCCACTGCCCTCATTCAGCAGACTGACTTCTCCTCTGCGTAGATGAGGTAGCCCAGGCCATCAGCTTAATGACCCCCAAAGGTTTGTTTTGAGTGCATGCCTGGGCCTTGAGGTTGTGGTGTTGCCAGCCCCTCTTCCAAGATATTTGTCTCTGTTACCACCCGCCCTGAACTCAGGTAAAGCCAGAGTGATTTGTGCTGGCTTAAGGATTTTAACTGCCCCCGTTGCCCCCATTGTTAGGTCTTGTTTAAGAGGCTGTGAGAGGCAGGATCCTGGCCAAGGAGAACCTGAGAGTGGGACTCATGCTGTGTGCCTGGTTCCCTCCAAATGGTCATATAGGGGACTTCAAGTTTGGAGGCCACAGCACCAACACTTGGGGGGGATGAGAACAGCTTCCCTGTGAGTTCTCTGGTTCTCACACCCAAGAGATGCGCTTAGATATGGGGTGTTTAGGGTGGGAACTAAGAGGCACAGCATCCTGTGAGTCAGGAAGCCCTGGGGCCTGGCTCCAGGGAATATTCTAGAAGCAGAGCTTGTTGAAAGGGGAGCCACCTACCTTGACCTTCTCTCCACTCATGGTTTCCATGTCACTTTCTTGCCCCAAGGTGAACTCATTTTTAGTTACTTTGTTCCCAGTGCTCACAGTGATCTTGAAGTGTTTTCCATTTTGCACAATTTCTGTCACCCCCTTGACGTCCTTCCACTTCTGGATGAGGTCCTCAGGCACCCCTGGTGGAAACCATCTGAGGTTTAGAGACAGCAGGGGTGAGGGTTTCAAGGCAGAAGAAGACGAGGGAAAATAGTGACATGGAAGGGTAGAGGCCACAGACATTGGAGACCTGTGAGCAGCAAGGGCTGTAGCTGCCACAATCTTGAACCTTTCTTCCCCTGTGGGCTCCCTGCTTCTCTCTCACTCTCTTCCCTTGCTCCCCGTCTTGCTCCCTCTCTTTTTATGGCTTGCTGTGAGAGTTAAAGTGTGTCCCTTTCCACACTCAGGGAGACCAGAGAGTTTGTCTTCCGATCCGGGTCACTCCTGAAATGACATGAGGAGCTACTAATAATTAGGCCCAGGTACCCATCATGTACAAAGCATAGTTTGCCAGGCTAACTTGAGCTTTTGTAGGAATTGATCTTCATGAGATCTTCTGACAGCAAGACTGGTGGGTCCTGTTGCATAGATAAGGAACTTCAAAGACAGAAGTGGGGTGACTGGCTTACAGAAGACCTAAGCTCTCAGGTACCCCCAAAGTTCCTCCTTCCCCAACCTCGCTACTTCTATGCTCTTTTCCCTTTTCACCCTCACTGCCACACTACACCCTCTGCTCACAGGGCTCCCTCTGCCTGGAACACCCTCACCTCCCCAGCCCCCCAGTGGGCACTGCTCCTCTTCCCAGGCTCCCCTTCACCACCCAACTCTTCATCTCCCTCCACACCCATGGGAGGCAGGAGGTTAAAGTAGGTTCCCTGGGAAGCAGTAACTATGTCTAGTCCCAACCCAGACGCTTCCTGCCATTGACCTTGATCATGCCAACTTACATTTCTCAGCCTCAAATGTAAAATGAGAGCATAACTGTGCCCAAGTCACAGATTTTTTGGTGAGGATTAAATGGGGCATTGCCCAGCAATTGTTTACCTGATACCCTGGTACAGAGTCACCCCCCTACATGTTAAGGGAAACTTTGTTACATTTATTTCTTCTCTTCTCTCTCTAAATTATGACCTTGGAAATATGGCTCTTCATTATGTATCTCAGTGCTATGTATCCCGCACAGTGCTTGAAGTGTAGTTGTTCTTGGATCAATACTTGTTAGAAGAGTGAATGAATGCACCCACGTATGTATGAATGAGTGAATAGAATCACTCGAAGAAGTACCAGGAGATGTGGGCTTCAGTCCAGATCACACCCTAGTTCAGTGTTCTTTCCATTTGGTTCTTGGTGGCCTTGTTTCCTCAGTAATGGCCCAGTAGCAAGATCTGCAAAGTGAGTAAAAGGTCCTCTACTACGGTGAAGCTTGTGTTTCCCATCTTATCCTAATAGCTGACAGAGTAGCCACTGCCTGTAGGGCCAGACCCTCACTGCACTGACCTGTGCCCTTGGTGGCCTGTCTAGCACTCACCCATCGCCTTCATGAAGGGCTCGAAGTTCTCCTGGGTCTGCAGTTGGTACTTGCCGGAGAAGTTCATGGTGGTGATGAGGCTCCCTCTCCACGGCTGGCCCAGGTCTGCACATGAGGCTGCCCACTAGTGGCAGTTTTATAGGGGTTTCTTGCTCTCCAAATTTGGATCATTGGTCAGTGGTGGTGGATTTCTTTATGGGCAGGGTCAAACATTAACTCCCAAGAGCAATGGTAAACATTAAAAACATGACTGACACAGCAGAGATGTGTTCTTTTCAGTGAACATGACTCAATCAAGGACAGAGCCCCAGGACCTTGCAACATTTATGGTGACATCTCACCTTTATGAACTAAGAATGCATACAAGAAGTGTGTATGTGTGCATGTTATACACACACAAGTGTGACCAAAGCATACAGTTAATGCTCAGATTTTTACAATTTATTAAGTAAATGACACGTGGGTATTAGTGGCCTGTACAATACTCCCCTCACTTCAGACATGCTCATCCCCTCGTTCTTGCCGCTTTCTGGAGCATTTCTGGAAGTCTTGTTTTGTGAGTGTCCGTGTGAGGTGTGAACACTGCAGAGAATGTTGCAGCTGTGTGCCGTCCAATGGATAAGCAGGCCCTTCAAAACACTACAGTGTGTCTTCATCCACCTTTCTCACTGGATTTGGCCACATGCATCTGTTGGCTCTTGCCCAAAACCAGAATCACCATGAAAGGTGAGTGATTTGAATCAATTCAGGACATGGAGGCAGCCACGGCACTGCACTCATGAAAGAGAACTTCAAGAACTGCTTCAGAAAGTGGCAGGAGTACGTGTGTTTGAAACAAGGAGGAATATTTTAAGGAAGATTAAAAACAAGGGCAGTATCTGCTGACTTGCCCCAATGTGGGGAAACTGGCCTTGCAGAGCCCCCTGACTGGCACTGACCTTGGACAGACCACCTAGAAATGCTTCCCATGACCTTGGGAGGCTCCTGTCACGAAGCTCAGAGGTGATGGCACCCAGGGGATCTACACCCCCACTTCCTGCCTCTGAGGCAGCTCTAGACAAGCACCCTCACCCCTATTTGCCTCCCTCCTCTCTCTGGACCTTGGCCTCGGCCTCTTCACCTGCAGCCTCCAGTCCCCCATGCTGCAGGCCTCTCTGTGCTGTGGTTGGACGGATCATCCTCCAGCACAGCCTGGGTGCCTCAGCCCTAGGTATGAGCCTCTCTCTGCCTCTGCTGGATCCCATTGCTCCTGAGGCAACAGGTCTGAATACTCAGTAGGACCCTGGTATCCTGGGTCCTGGCCTCGATGGCCACTCCCAAAAAAGGCTCTCTCCCTTTGCTGCCATGAGCTCCAATTTGGGGCTTGGTAAATAATTGCCATCACCTGAACTTCCAGCAGGCTGCCAGCTTGAGTTTAACTCTCCACCCTTGTCCTTCTTTCTGTGCAGGTCACAGTCACAGGGCCAGCCGTACGCATCAGGGGCATCCATGCCTCTGTGTCTGTGTCCATGTCGCTCCCTCTGCCATTCTTCCCTTTCTCTTCCTCTGTGAATCCTCTGAGCGCACTTCACAGATGCCCCATTCCGGCCGCACTGGGATGATTTCTCCATGTGCTCTTTGTCACTGTCCGCTTTCCTTGGTATCCAGCACAGAGCAGGAGTTCAGTCTGTGAGATAAAGTTTGGCAAGAGATAATGAGGTCAAGAGTCTTCTGGTTGAGGAAAAATGAGAGATAAAGAAGTAGTCAGGTCAGCACTCCACCCTCAGGCTCTTGAATGACTGAAGCAGGGCAACAAGGCTGTGTGTGTGTGTGTGTGTGTGTGTGTGTGTGTGTGTGTGTGTCTGTGTCTGTGTGTAAATGATTGGACATGGATAAGCTGCTTGGGAGAGATGGTGAGACCCCAGATCTGTGCATCAGCCTGAGCTTCACTGCCCTGTTGCACAGGAGACTTGGAAAGACCTGGGTTTCCTCCTCCTAGGAAAGAAGAAGAGGAGAGGGGCCAGTGAAAGGGTTTGGGGCAGGAGCCACTAGGACAACTGCAGTGGCCACAGAAGGATTCTAGCAATGTTAATGGGGAATTAGAAGCTACTTGTTTGCTGCAAAGAGAATTCTCATCCATCTTTTTTTTCCATCCATCTTTGATTGTGCTCCCTAACACCTCTGAAGCACCAGTAAGACAAAGTGCACGAATCATTATATATGCCAATGGAAGATGATGGAAGGCTGAGTTTCATTTCTGGACTGATGAGATGGGGCTGAGACAGCTCTCCTAGAAGCAGTTCCAGAAAGCAAAATGTCCATGTGGATGCCTTCCTCTAATTTTTAGGCAGGGCTTTGGGAGAGTTCAAGCTTCATTTAGATCCTGCACTACTTAAAAACCCCAGATGATGTCTGAGTTACAGATGGCCTGAACCTGGGCAGGCCTATGTTTGTCAGATGACACTGTAGTGCTCAAGTCCCTGGATAAATTAAAGTCTCTTCCTGAGAATACTCCTCCTTACTTACTGCCTAAATAGCTTTCCCATGGTTGCCAATGAGCGAATCAGTAAAAGCTTAGTGGCTAGGGGTATGGTTTAGTGGTATTGTGCTTGCTTAGCATGAACAAGGTTCTGGGTTTGATCCCTAGCATGGCAGATGAAAAAGAAGAATAAGAATTAAAATAGAGAAAGAAAAGGAAGAGCTGCAGCAGCCTAGGGGTCTTGCAACCTAAAATCAATGAAATATTTATCAAGATCAACAATAGTGAAAGAATTATTACCACCCCTAACCCATCCCATTTATGAAGCACTTAGTTTGAGAGATCTAATGTCCCCAACCCAGGTGTACCATGCTCTCTCATCCATCAAGCTCCCTGCTTTACACCTTTCATCAGATAAAAAGTATACTTGGCATAGAAATCTTACATCCAGGCCATCTTCCCTTGATTGTGGCTTTCAAATGATTCACCACACAGTGCAGCCTTCTGGGCTCTAAGTGGGGAATGGGAAGGAAGTTTTTCCAAAGGGCAAGTCAGCATCAATCCCAGAGCCCTCTTGGCAAGTCCAACTTTTCTGGTATCTAAAGAAGGGCAGGACCTGTGAGGCAACTCCCTGTACTTCCTGTGCCTCTACACAGCTTTGGATTTTGGTCACCCGAAGACTCTAGGCCAGGCCAGAGCCCAGAAGGTCAGCATTCAGACCTTGAGGAGGAGGGGTGGTGACTCCCTGTGGCTTTGATGTATCAGACATTTATTTTAGAACTGGAACTTCTGCATTTGTATCTGACCCAGGATGCCTACAGTGTCAGCTGCCCATTTCTTAGGATCTGGGGACATTGGAAATGACCCAAGGAGCCCTTACACCTGCTAGACTAGTGCTGCAGAGGAGAAGGACCCAGCTGTTCTCTGAGCTTCACTGAGTTTCTACTTCTTTATCTGTTAAATGGTCATAATCTTTGCCTTGTGAAAGTATCATGTAAACTGTGAAGTTCTACAAGAATGTGAAGCTCCTGCTGGCAGCCCCTGCTCCTTTTGAGCAAGGAGGCCCATGTTGATGTGCCGCACATCCCAACACAAGCAAGTAGGCACAAGAAAGTGCCCCTGAAATTGGCAAGCAGCCTGGGCATGCCTCCTAAAGCAAGGACACAGCCACCCACCAAGTCTAAGCCAGCTCTACACTTTGCTTCCACTTGGCACAGGGCAGTGGAAGAGAGGGCTAATCAACAACCTGGTCCTGAAAGAGGACAACACCTGGGGAGAGAAGGGAGAAGCCAGATCCTGTGACTGTCAGTATTAAGTGTCACAGTCCACTTGAGCCCCTACCCATCAGCCTACAACCAGGAGAGACCAGAGCACTGATTCCACTTCCCATCTGCCAGTGGGAGCAAAGGTTATTCCTTGGGTTAGACAGTAACCACAGTCTGTGGTGAAAGGATGGAGTGGGCTCTTCTGCAGGCAGAGCACCTCAAAAACCAAAAGGCCCAAAAGCTAGGTGGAGAAAATCATAGCTAGCTGTATCCTAAGAACAAAGAACATGGAAAGAAACTGCTCATTTAAAAAAAAAAAAAAAGGAAAGGAATTTTTTTTCTTAACTCAGTCTTTTTTGTGATTTATTTTTTATTATTTATTATTTATTTTTCTCTTTCCTTCATCATATTTTTGGGAAGTTGTTATTCTTTTTCTCTTTTAGATTCTTTTTAATTTGTTTTTCCCCCTTTCTACTTTTTCCTTTTATTCCCTATATTTTTCTCTCTTCATTTTTTTATCTTCTTTTTCTTGTTCTTTCCCTGTGATTCATTTGTAAATCTATCAATTTCCTTTTATTCTGCAGTGAGACCCCCCCCAGCTTTCTCTTCTCCTCCTATCTCACTGATTAAATTTTCAAATTTTTATTTTTTTCAGTCTGTGGTTCCCCAACCCCTTCTACCTTTACTAGTATAACTAAGTCTTGTGAATCTCTAGATAGTTAGTTAAATTTATGCTATTATTGTTGACTACTGTTCTATTGTTAGAGGTAAATTTGTTCCATTTAGTAGATATTTACTATAGATGAATACTGTAGGTCAATATTTTTCTTGCCTTACTGTTCATACTATAATTATAGATCTGTTTTCTATGGTTAAGGGAGATAGATTATTGGTCCTTAGGGTTTGTTAGCATTCAACATACTAATTTTATTACTTTAACTAAGGTGACACAGTTGTTTCTTTTAATTGGTTTTCTTGGGATGCTAATACCTACATTGCTTTGAGATCATTAGCAATACTTTGGCCTATTCCTAGAGAACTGGCTACTGGGGAAAACACCCTACTGTCACCCATCCTAAATAAATGAAAGTGCTTGGGTCCTGGGACAGAGGCAAAAACCAATAGTTAGCCACAGGTAGAGGACACTGCTGAAAAGTAGATGTTGAACAAAGAGGTCTCCACACTAAAAACAAATCAACACATACATCTCTACGCAAAAACAAATCAAAAAGAGGAACATGAGAAGACAAGTCAACAAAATGCCTCCCAAAACCCTCAACTCTCCCAAAGCTGATCCATGGGGCATCGAAAATAAGAAAACCAAAATCTACACACCTAAATTATTCAAACTTGTGTCATGGGAGATAGCAAAACAGTAAATAAGGCACTTGGCAAGCAAACAGAAGATACAAGTAAACAGATATTGGGCCAAATAAACATATAATCA